CGCTAGACTTTTTGATAGCCGGGCACCATCAGCTTTCTTCACCACATTTGCTTATGCACCCATTTGTCTTTAGTGATCCGTTCGACACCCGTGATCACACAGGTTGATATGTTGTTCCATGTGGGCTTTGTTGCTTCTGCATACTGTAACTCTTGATGGGTGTAGAAAGCTTCGTTTTTTTCCCAAGGAGCAGCTGGTGGTTTGGAACTCCTGGCCTTGAGGATCACAACCCCACACTGAAACGCAACAACATCTACACACACACACACACACACACACACACACACACACACACAAGAACAGTTGTCATCAAGCTGATTCCAACTTGGCATAGTAACCATTGTGCCAAGATAAGAGAACGATGCTGATCTTGTTAGCAGTGCAACAAGTCACCCACTGTGCCCCAGGGCTCATTATGTAGACCTTAATACCCTAGATTCCATCAGGGGCACCCTCAGGCAAGTCTTTCAGGGCTGACTAGGGGGATGGTGGCACTGCATGTTCAAACACAGCGCCTGAGGGCAAAGCTACTCACACCATCAGTTAATAGAAGGAATTCGGTGGGGACTGAATCTATGTGGAGACTCAAAACTGGATTTGAGTCTTCCACTCAAACTAGCCTTCCGCAAACCTGGCAATCAGAATCCAAGCTCGGAATGCAGTAGTCAGGAAGCACAGGCCACAACCCTGTGAGGAAAGGGGACCTGATTTGGTCTCTGGTCTGAGCCCAAGTAGCCTGGTTCCAGAACTCACAAGCTCTGCTCTGGGTGGTGACTAGAGCAGGGCTATTCTGAGCCATAAGCTGAGGGTTCCTGGATTTACCTCTTCATAGGTATAAAGAGCCCTGGGATTGTTAGTTACTTGTTGAGCAGCTAACCTCACAGTCAAGAGTTCAGAAGCACCAGCCAGCTCAATGGGAACAAGGTGAGGCTTTCCACTCCCATGGAGAGTTAGATCTCAGAAACCCACAGGGGCAGTTCTACCCTGTTGCCATGAGTCAGAATTGACTCAACAGCAGTGAGATGGATGTGTTAGTAGGGCAGTTTCGAACTTATTCTCATTTATGTAATTCCCTCTCAAGCAGAGACACTGTGCCTAAAACGGTACTTTGCTGTGTAAGAGTTGGCTGCATTTACCCTGGATTTGATTATGTTTGTTTTCTAGAATGAAAAGTTGAAGCTTCACCTGGAAGATCTTCCAAAATGTATCCTAACACTATTGTAGCAAAAACAACCCCCCCAAAACACAAAGTCTTGATCATTAGGGTTTAAAGGTTTCCAGACCCCTTTCAATGCCAGCAGTGACACTCGGACAGCAGTGGACGGCTGTGTGGGATGGGGTTGAGATGGATGGGAATCTAGCTGGGGTTTACCCTGATCTCTTCAGGTGGTGAGTGGGGGACCCCATAGTCTTCAGTAGTGGTTGAAACTACTGCCAGGCTGATGGCTCCTTCACGCTTCAAATTCTTTTGATTTAAAAATTTAGGAAATGATATGGAGATTGTTGTTGCCTTCAAATGGTTGGATGGGGGAGGACTATCATGGAAGACTTGCCATTTGACACAAAATAATAATGTATTCTATGCCTCATTCATAAAATATAATTAAGGCTTAATTTTTTGCTGGGGGTGGTCATGCTAACATCTAATAAGGAAAGAGATTAATCTCATCAGTTGTTAAAATATATTTGCCTATTCCTAGTGACATTTAGCTCATCCTGCAATTTTCTTTCCTGAATTAAAATGTGTAGGATCTCTGGTGGTCAAATGGTTAGCTCACTTGGCTGCTAATTGAAAGATTGGAGGGTTGGAGTGGAGTCAGGTAGGAAAAAAGGCCTGGTAATCCGTTTCTGAGACGTTCACAGCCAAGAAAACGCTGGGGAGCACAGCTCTACTGTGACTCTCTGGACACCGTGGGGTCTCCATGCATCAAAGGCAACGTGATGGCAGCTGGATTTCTTAAATGAACATTTTTAGGTTTCTATTTTTTCCGCTGCTAGTGACCTAACCTAATATTTAAAGTCAATAATCCACTTTCAGGCACAATACTGTTTCCTCATCTGTTTCCAACTTAAGCATATTTCCCAGAAAAAAATGTTTAATTTGTCTTTTTGGAACAGGGTCATTATCATTTTTGTGACGCTCTTTCTTTGCTGGGAGAATATGAGTGGGCTCTGAAGGCAAACATCAGAGCTCAAGAAGTCTGTAGACATGACCCTGCGGCATTGAAGGAGCTGATTCAGCAGTATATCAAGTTCCAAAGACAAATAGAAGACCGACAAGGTATTTCAGTTAGCACTCTTTGGTTGCAGTCAAAGTCCCTTTAGAGCTTTGTAAAGGTGGGTTTTTTGGTCAATGGAGGACTGTAAATCCATCATCAGATGAGTTGTACTGACTGTCACATTGTCAGTACAGTGTCAAATCACCTCACGTTTCCATTTCTATCTATGTAGAATTTCATTAGCATTATGTTTTATTAGGTAGTTATACAACGATTTGTATTCTTTTTTTAAAACAGACAAGAAACACTTATTAATCTGTAGAAAACCAGGCACGGCAGAAATCTTGAAAAACGTAAAAGCTTTTAGCTTTTTGCCACAGCTAGTTTTACAATATTTCCTTTGATATTAAAGTTTCCTTCACTATAAAGTAAGCATGCGTGCATGCATGCACAGGCGTTCCTACAGGGCACCAAGAGTTAAGCTCAATACTAACTGAAAGGCTGGTGGTTTAAATCAGCCCATCGGTGTCCTGGAAGAAAGGTGTAGCCACCTGCTTCTGAACAGTCAGAACCTGTAAATCAGAGTCCCATGAGTTGGCATTGTCTTAATGACAGCAGTTTTGTTTTATTGATGACAGCTATCTCACTGCCATTGATGAGTCAATGCTGACTCATAGCTGACAGTGCAGATCGCAGCCCAACGCTGAACCAGTTATATATATATATATATTTATATACATATACACGCATACACATATATGCATACATATATGAGGGGATACCCCCCAAATGGATTTTTTTTCAAAGCTATATATTTACATTTTTTTACAAAACAACCTTATCACCTTCGAAGTACTCTCCATTACACTTAATGCATTTGTCAAATCTGCTATTCTATGCTTGAAAATAGTTTTCAAGCTCATTTCTTTGGATGGCTCCCTAGTTTTTTTCTTCACCTCTTCCAAGTCATCAAATCGCTATCCCTTCATGTCCCTCTGCATTCGCAGAAACACAGAGAGAGGTCAGGAGAGTAAGGTGTGTGGACCAAGAGAGGCATGCTATTTTTTGCCAAAAACTGGTGCACTGAGATGGCTGTGTGAGCAGTCCCCCGTCTGCCACAAATCAGGCCTTTTTGGTCACACACTGTTACGCGTTCTTCTCAGAACCGCTACATAGAAGGCTTGGTTAACAGTCTGACCTGGTGGAATGACTCCAAGTACGCTAAGTATGAGTAGACATTTTCGTTTGCTCGGGAACTTGATGGATGTCCAGAACCAGGTTTGTCATCAATCGGAATTCCACCTTTTTTGAAAGGATAAAACCACTTGTACACTTGTTGGTTTTCCCCCCATAGTGCTGTCCTTGTCAGCTGTGTTCAACATCACAGCACTTTCTGCAGCGTTCGTCCCAAGCAGGAAACAAAATTTCACAGCTGCACCAATCGTCCATCACACACAAAAAAAGAGGTTCAAATGAAACTGCTTTTACGAAAAAATTCACTGTGACCAGAGAGAACTTTCCCAGGCGACACCACTGCGTGTTGCTCGATGTGTACTATGAAAGCTTTGCCCAGTGGAGCTTTTTTCCATTTTGGGGGGGAGGTACCCCCACATATACATATAAAACAGGAACAGGTGTCATCAAGTCAATTCCAACTTTGTTACATGTATTTACAGAATTTAGATATGTGTTAATATATAAGATATAGAGACTTTTATTGCCTCAGAGTATTTTGGAGTGTAATTGGATGTGTAAGCTAAGAACGATAGCTTTCCTCTGCTTCTGTCCTAAGACATCTTGCTTTGTCAGTAACCGGAGTTCCAGTATTCTTGGGCACTGTGTATCTTGCAGAGCCGGCTGCGTAATGTTATCTCGGGAGACATCCTCTAACAAAGCAGATTGTGAGCTTCTTGAAGACAGGTCTTGTCGGCGATTCGGGTTCACGTCTTGCTCTCAGCTGGTCAGCAGTCACACGTAGTGAGCGGTCAAGGCGTTGCTTTCACATTGGGGCACCGTCTTAAACTAAAAAGCATCTAGAAATGTAAGCCTCGCGTGGCTTATGTTTCCAGTTCTCTATCATATTTCTACTGTCAGCTTAAAAAGAAATGTGGAAATCCTTTAAATCTAGTTTGCCAATCTCTTGATTGCTGTCCCTGACTTTTTCAGGCCATCCCAGAGGTGGTGGTCAGCTCAGGATAGCCGGTAAAAATAGCAGGTGAGTTTATGTCAGTGGGTGTTACTCAGACCACTATCCTCCCTGAATTTTAGAATCACCTGCGTTTGATTTTTAGTAGCTCGTAACAGCCACGGGGAAGTTGGAGAGCGAGAAGCTGGCTCTTTTAAAGTGTCACTGACCTAAGTGTTCGCTTATGTTAGGTGACTATACATTGTCAGTCTTCCTTTACCAAGTGCTTTACCAACTTGTCTACCTTCTCCCTTCATTAAGGTAGTTGAACCGGGTGTGGAATATGTATGCAAAGAGGCTTCCAAAAGTTCGTGGGAAAATGTCCCTGAAGTCATTTTGTGAACTTTTTTGAAGCCCCCCGGTATGTTAGGAAGGAGCCCCTGCATTGCTGTGGCTTAGGCGCTGGGCTGCTACCCACAAGGTTGGCAGGTCAAACTCACCAGCTGCTCCTCAGGAAGAAGATAAGACCATGCGTTTCTGCAAACCTTGATAGCCTCAGAAGCCCTCTGTCGGGTCACTGAGTCCACATGGACTCGCTGGCAGTGGCTTTGGGTTTGTACATTAGAGATCAGTAGCCCACGCCTGTGCGGCAAAGGAGTGATTAAGACCATTTGGGGCCATGACAGTCCTGGTGCCAAAGTACAAGAACACAGCCCAGGTCTTTTACCTTTCACCTCTGATCTGGAAACAGTTGCTGCCTCTTCAGAGGCTAAGATGCTTCCTTTTAGAACAGCTGGACCAACCGATGGAGCCTGTGTAAAGGATCCCTGGTGGGGCTGCTAACAGGAAAGGTTAGACCCCACCAGCTGTTGGGTGGCAGAAAGAGGTGGCAAACTGCTTCTGCAAAGGTTTGCAGCCCTAGCAGCCCTAAGGAGCAGTTTGGCTCTGTCCTCTTGGGCTGCTAGGAGTCGGGATGGGCTCAGCAATGGTCTGTTGGGTGTCATCTGCTTTTGGAGCCCAGTCCACTCACAGGGAAAGAGAGTGCTACGTTTACTTCCTTGGCAATTCAGTGTAAGCTGATCCTCAAGCTCATTGGACACCTGGGTGATTGAAGCTGCTACATTTTTTAAAAAAGGAAAACCCAATTATTTTACTGTAGCGAATCCAGAAGGCTTTTTGGGAATTATCTAATCCTGAGTGTTTGATACTGAATTTCAAACAAGGTTTATGTATGAAAACTGTTTTCAGGGAGAGAGAGAGCGATTTCTTTTTAAAGCAACAATATCTTGCCGCTTTCAAGGGGACGAAAAGGCTGTATCTTTCTGCAACCCGTATGTTTAAAGGATTGCTTTTAAAACATGCATATGAACCGTTAGGGAAAGAATGTAAAATCCTTTCTCCTCTCCTAGGGAATACAACCCTCTATTAGTACCTTCATTTAGGGCTTCGCTGGTCTTTGTGGATACTGAAAAAACCTCTGCAAACATTGTTTATGAAATGGCAAGTGGTGGTAGAAGGCATAGAAGGGTAAGCTCAATTAAAAATGAAAATTATTTCTCACATAGATATTCTTATATTCTTACGGTAGCATTTTGGTGACAATGAAAACCAACTAATCAGGTAACAAACCCTCTTTTTTCTGTGCATAATAGAGAGCAATTCTGTCTTTCAAATAACTAGATTTTTAGCTGCCACATACTGCCACAAAGATAGTATTTTGGAGCCACGGAACTCCTTGTGAAGCTGCACTTACATGCTTTCTACGTCTTTCTAAACATGGTTCTAGCACACATATCACCCTCCTTTTTCACCCCCCTCTGAGAATCGGCCCGCCAAACAGGGAGAGGGGCCTGGTGGCAAGTCCTCCTCAGCCCTGGCAATGCTGTGGGCTCATCTTTTCTCCTTTTTTTCCTTTTTGGCAAGCGACCTGGCTGCCTGGCACTGCCCCAGCCCACCCTCCCAACCCACGCTGTGCCAGCCTGGAAGCCCCTCACCACCTCTGTGCATGTTGTTTCTGCAGTCCCCAGTGCCCGCAGCAGCAGTGTGCTCAGCAGAGGCCTGGTTCTGATGGGCTTCTCCACAGCCCCGGCTGCTCTCGTTTAGTCCTGTGCTAGCGTTCCCCAGGTGATCTGGGCGAGCTTCAACAGGTCTCGCCAGTGCCCACACTTAAACTCCGCTCTCTCATTTGAGGTGAAAAGTAAAAATGGTGCTTGGGGTGGGAGAGTCGTTGGCTTCGCAGGGAATGCATCCAGCCACCAGTGCCATCGATTTCTTGACAGTGCTGGCAGTTTCTAACAGGCTCTACGTGGGGAGACGCTTCTGGGCGAAACATGCTAGTGTCAGTCCAGTGCAAACGCCCGCTGAGAAACCACCTGGTTCTCAGGTGCTGCATCACCCCAGGGGTTAGACAACGAAGACTTTCTCATGTCACGACACAATCCCTTCTTATCTAACAATCTGCTAATTTATTCATTTAGGATTCTGCCTATTTTAGGGACTTGGGTAAATGCTACCCAATTCTATTCTAAAATCTGCTATTTAGCTATGTCGTTAGTAATTCATGGTTTTATTAAGATGTCGTTTTGTTTTGTTTCATTTGCTCTAGTCTAACTCTTTTTGGGCTGAGGAGCATAATTATTTCGTAAGGGGAGCTGGTGCTGCTACTGCTGAGTTTTACGATTGCCAACCATCCACAAGTAAGTTCTGTTTCCTTCGGCAAATGGGTTTGCTGGGATGAGTGTCGTGCTGCCTAAACTCATGGGCCCTAAAATGTGCATAAGCCTCACCTGTATTTGCCAGTGCCCTTGTTTTACTTACACTGTTTCTGTGTCAGGAAGACACGGAATGTTTATGTGAAATCTATGCCCATTACTTAATACATTTAGTTTTCAAAACTTAAATAAAAGGGAAGGGAAGAACTTAAGAAACAAATGTTCTCTGGGTCTGATCCCTCATTTCCTTTAAGACAGGCCCTCTCTTAAGAAGCCATTTTAGACATTGTTTTCACCATTTCATCTCCCTCCAACCCCCTTCTCCCCCGGGCCTCGCCCATGAAATTTTAATACCATGAATAAACTGTACAGGAGTCTCCCTGTGGCTCTAATCCTTAAACGCTGAGGTGCCACGCTCATGAACTTGACCATTGGGCTGTCACAGTTCTGGTCTGCATACATGGGCTCGCCCTGAGCCACAAACAACTCCATGGCAACATGAAACCCCAGGCCACTTTTGATCTGTTATGTACTTAGTGGACACGTGCTGGACCAGAAAGAGAGGAGGACCTTTTCCTAAGAACCACAGCAGGCACAGAGCGGGGCCTTGTTTTGTGTACTTAGCATTATTGAGTCATAAAGTCCAGAGGCACATATTCCAGCTTTTCATTTATGTTCTGAATTGTCTTTTCTGCTGCCAAATTTTGGTCCGCATCCCTCTAAAATGGAGAACTTCTAGAATAAAGTCAGAGAGATGCAGATTTTCTGGATGATTCAAGGTGGCAGTGGTTAAGGACAACTGGCACGCACAGCCAGCGGTCATGTAGTATTCCCTAGAGTAGTGATTCTGGACCCTTTCATTACAGCTCCTCATGTTGTGGTGACCCCAACCACACAATTATTTTTGTTGCTACTTCATAACTGTAATTTTGCTATTGTTATGAATCATAAATACCTGATATGCAGGATGTATTTTCATTGTTACAAATTGAACATAATTGAAGCATAGTGATTAATCACAAAACAATGTGTAATTATATATTGTGAAATATTTATTTCTAATTACAAATAAATGAAATTTTGTCTTGAAGCATGGTGGAGCATGGGTAACAGTCTTCATGCTGGTACTTGTATGTTGGCATATGTGGGCATATGCATGTGGGCAGACCCACCTGGAGTCAGCTAGAAGAGCAGTGTCTCGGTTCCTAAGACCATTGGAAATATATGTTTTCTGATGGTCTTAGGTGACCCCTGTGAAAGGGTCGTTTGACCCCCCCACCCCCACTCCAAAGGAGTCGAGACCCAAAGGTTGAGAACTGCTGCCCTAGAAGGCTATTACGAGATTGTCACCTTATTGCTCTCTCTTCTTGTCTTTGGTTGGTCTCCTCTCTTCTCAGTGATTTTGCTTCCAGCAGCCATTCTCTTCAGGGACCCCCTGCAATGTCATATTCGCCCAGCTCCAGTCCCACGTATTCACCTATGAGTGGGCCTTTCCACGTGTTAGCACACGCCACATGTAAGTGGCATTGGAGAAGCAGCAAAGCCATGTTGACCATGACTATACCCGTTGTCCGTTTCTTCTTTTTTTTTTTAAAGGCAGATAGAAGCTTCACGGGGAATGATTTGCATTTCAAACCATTTAAGGGCCTCTGAGGAAATGAGTATAGACCGAAGACGTCTTGGCTATTGTCTTCCACTGTGCAACCCAAATAGCAAATCTTTAAGGACAAAGATTTCTTTCTAAAACAGCTTTTGGTCTCTCACTATTTTTAGGCCATTATGATCAGATATCGGAGGTCTGGTGATGCAGTGAGTTGAATGTTGGGCTAGCCTTTCCAGAAACCCCTTTGGTTTCTGAGGCCACCAAACCTGGCTCCACCTTTCATTCCCTCCACCGACTTAGCTCTGCCCTGTCTTCCCTAATGGCCTTCTAAACACGCCCTTTCTGTACGGGCTCACACACAACACAGCCTTGAGCATGTCACCCCCCCTGCCTGCAACTATGCAGCGGCTAAGTCCACAGGTCTGTAGGATCCGAGCAAAGGGTCTCCAGACCTCAGTCCAACCTGCTTCTGCAGCCTCACTTTTCACCCTCATGAAACCTTGCAGATCACACCAAGTCAAACTCACTGCCATTGAGTCAATGCTGACTCATCGTGACTCCCTGAGGGTTCCCGAGACTGGTTATGGGAGGAGAAAGCCCAGTCTGTCTCCTGTGGTGCTTCTGCTGGTGGTTTCGAACTGCTAACCATTTGGATCGCAGCCCAACGTGTAACCACTGTGCCACTAGGGCTGCACTAGAAGATTAAATACTTCAGGAGGTACAGTAGGTGCAAATCACACAGTTTGCTTATTCTTAAGCTGACCTCCATTCACTCCTGAGTTCTAACTGTTCTACCTGTCAAGTCCTACTCTTTCCTCAAACCCAAATATAAATGTATCTCCACTAAGACCATTCCCAACCACTTCCACTGAAATGATTTCTCCCTCTGTGAGTGCCGAGAGAGCAGCAGCTGACTGTGGGGTCTCCTTTCTTCTCTGAGGTTACTGTTCACGTTTCTGACGTCCCCGTCTTTTCTCCCATCTGGGTTGTCAGCTGAGAAGAGGAGCCATGGCTTCTGTCTCTGTTACCTCTCTAGGTGCACGTCTCTCGGCATGATTGTCGTTCCTCTCTGCAGTTCTCATAGCATGTACAGAGCAACATCATTAGTAGTTTCTGTTTTGTAGTTCTCTCGCGCATAGTATTGATTTACTTCGGTCGATGTGTTGATGGACTGCTTTACTCTCAAGTGTTTGGTTTGTATGTGCAGACTCAGGAACAAGTGGTTTTGTCTTCACAGGCAAGCCTTCACGTCATCAAGGAAGACACAGCTCCAGAACTGACACATTAAGAGACAGGTATGTTTTGCTCTAAGCTGTGCTTGGTCCATCCTCCCCTCCCCATTGTATCTCTCCTAAGCAAAGGGAGATCTCTTTTTGAAGTATTAGCCACCTTTTTCTATGTGTATCATCATAAGCACTAACATTCTTTTCAAATATCAAGGTATGTCTTTAGGGTAGGATGACTTGGGGGTGGGGGGCAGGGAGGGGGGGCTGGTGGGAGTGGTGGTGGCTAAGGGATTATTAATCCTAAATATTAAGCTGAATTGTCAAGGCCATATAATAGAAAGCATCAATATTATGATTATTTTTTATTCTAAAATACATACTCGTATGAGGAAAAGTCATTCAGCAAGGAATACGGTGGAAAGTCAGCCTCATTCTCGCCTCACCTTATTTCACGTCTACTGCCGTCCGTCCTCCAGTGACCTGGAGCAGCTCGCTGTTAATTACGCCCTGTCCTGCTGGAACCTGAACTGTGCCTGCACAGGATTGGCTGTGTATTCACCCAGAGGCTCATTTTGACTATTTATTATCGGATGAAAATGGTTTTTATTGTGACCACTTAATCAATTCATTCCGCCAAGTGGTCCCTCCCCCCAAAATGCAGAGAACTGTGGCCTCCTCTCTTTTCAGTTAATTCCCCAGTGCCTGCAAAGATCCAAATGGGCTGGAAAGTAATTGTAAATCTTAAAATAGACAATCTCATGAAGTTAATAATGTAAGTAGCTATGGAGAAGCTGCAAAGCCATGTATATACCACAGTTGGACCTTTGTTAAGGTGGAGAGATCCTTCAAGGAGAATGATTTGTGTATCAAAGCATTACAGAGGCCAAAGGAAATTTGTAGAGCCTTAATTACTTAATTATTTCTTTGGTTCTGCTACAGAAATTAATATAGACCTGCAAATATATACAGACATGACAGAGGCTATTTCTACAAATAAATATTTGCTACAAGTAGATCCTTGAATATAGTAGCGTATATAAGGGCCAAAGTTATGAAAAATTCTTTGCCATAACCAGACATCTTGGGGGAAATGAGTCATGGGTCTGAGGGCTCAGACGCTAAGGTCAGTTAGCATAAATAATTCGTAGAGGCAGCTGTCTACATCTATCTTTGGTGAGTAGCAAAAGCTCCTGAGTAGCCATTAAGCTGCAGCTATTGGTCTTTTCCCATCTGGAGCAAATAAGAGTAAAGACCATCCAAGATGCAAGGAAACACCAAAGGACCAATGGACCACATGACCTCCAGCCTTTACTGACTCCTGAGATCAGAAAACCTAGATGATGCCCAGCTACCACGGCGGACCACTTTCCAGGATCACAACAAGAGGTCCTGGATAAAATAGGAGAAACATACGGAATAAAACTCAAAATCATAAAAATAAAAAAAGACTATGCTTACTAGACTGAAAGAGACTGGTAGGACCCCCAAGCCTGCAACTGAATTTACCCCTTTAGCTCACCTTTCAGCCAAACAATAGAAAGGCTTATAAGGTGAACAATAAAACCAGGGAGGTACACACTCCTTAGAGCCAGCCATTAATCATAGAAGATCAAAAGGGCAGCATCTGCCCAGGGGAAAAGCTCAGGCTGCAGAACGGGGTAGGAAAGAAGGATGAATGGAAAAAGGAAAGACAGGAAGGAAGTGGAAGAGAGTTCTTCCCTCATGGGGATTATGGTCTGTATCTCATAATAGTGTGTATGAATTGTTGAATGAAAACCAATTTGCTACAAGGAACTATATGTGACCTCCTCCCTGGGGGATGGACAACCGAAAAGTGGGTGAAGGGAGACATCGGACAGGGCAAGATATGACAAAATAACAATTTATAAATTATCAAGGGCTCATGAGGGAGGGGGGAGCAGGAAGGGAGGGGAAAAATGAGGACCTAATGCCGGGGGCTTAAGTGGAGAGGAAATGTTTAGAGAATGATGAGGGCAATGGATTGTGATAAGAGTTGTATGAGCCCCTAATAAAATGATTAAAAAAAAAAAAAGAAAACCAATTTGCTCTCTAAGTTTTTTGCCCAAATCAGTCTTCCGTGCCACCCCCCTTTCTCTTGCACACACACAAACACACACACTAAATAGAGAAAAAATTAATATAAAGTGGGGGAGTGTAGTATATTAGTTATTTGTTCTTTAGTAGAAACACCTTGAATCTTTCTCTCCCCAACCCCTGCCAAAGAAACCAAAAAGATGCAGAAGCAGTATAAAGTTTTGATTTTGACTTGTTTTGTTAAAGATGAGAATACTTTCCTGATACTTTAAGTTTTCAAAGGAATGGCTTCTTATTAGTTTTAAAAACATTTTATTGGGGGCTCGTACAGCTCTTATGACAATCCATACATCCATCCATTGTGTCAAGCACATTTATACATATGTTGCCATCATCATTTTCAAAACATTTTCTTTCTACTTGAGCCTTTGGTGTCAGCTCATTTATCCCCACCCCCACCCAATGGCTCCTCATTTGAATATGCCTACCTCATGTGTTTATTTCACAATGACATCAGGTAGCCATGTGACGCCCTCAGTACACTTGGTCATTGTTAGGACTACTGTTTTCACTGTTATTAGAACTGGCCTAGCCTGCAGCTTTTTCTGATTCTTACAAAGGCTTGGATGTTCCTCACGTCAGGCCAGAGATCTACTTCTGTCATTTTCAAGGCTATAGAACATTGCTTAGTGTAGATACAGCGTCCTTTTCCTCCCAGTCCTCCATCGTTGTATGTGTAGCCTCTTTGCGCTTCTCCTCCACTTTCCCCCCACCCCAAATAAATACAGTAAAGATCCTTGCACATATACTTTTGTGCCTTTTCTCAGTAAACTTTCTGAAGCAATTTCTAGAGTGAATCTCTGCATCAAAGGGGATGCAAAATTTTAACTTTGACAGCATTGCCAAGTGGTCTTCCCAGAAAGCTGATGGTACTCACTCACCCACTCACCTGTAAGGGGCGCAGACTTTCTCCACTCACCCACACGGGAATCAGATTTCTGACTTTTGCCAACTATGGGCAATACCTGATTACTAAGTATTCCTAAGAGCTCATGTTCTAGGTGGATTGGGCACATTTCTTGTTATTAATGGACTATGTTTTTATTAATGACAGTTGATGTACAATAACTCTGGATGATTCCCATAAATCCCTCCCAGTTTTTCTTTCTTCTTCATATGCCATCTTCAGAATCTGCTCTCCTGGTCTCCCGTCCCCCTTAAGTGTCTAAGTGTTTTTATTTAGATTGCATTGACTTGGAGATGAATTGGGGGAGCACAGTTTTATTCAAGAACTTGTGTAACTCTCCATTTATGTAGTATTTAAAATTACCTTCTGCACATAATGTTTATTTACATTATTTTGCTTTTGCATGAATTCAAAAAAAACGCCTTTCTTTTTCAATTCTAGCTTAAGAATTCAAGAAGAATTGAGAAGCGCTTTGGAGAAACCATTTCCTAAATCTGCCAGAGCTGCCCATCAGGTAACTGAAGAGGCAAACTCTTGAGTAAGAGGTTTCTTTCGTTGAATTAATTTCTAATCATGGACATCACTAAGCTTGTTTTCTTTATAATTTTAGTTAGAGATACTTTTAATGTGTGACTGCTAGGAAATCAAACCATCACTGATTTGAACCTTTACTTGACAATTATTTTAGCCTGAGGTTTAGTTAATTGTAAGCACTGCAAAACGGTTGGCTTCCCAAAGATTGAATACTAATATGAACGTTTTAATTTAAGAAGATTCAAACCATATGAAATTGTTTTCATTTTATAAACACTTGCAATTTCATCACATCTCTAAAACCACTGAAGTGTAAACTGTTTACTTATTTTTTTCAACACTTTAATTGGCACCTAATCCACAAATCATACAATTCAGTAGTTCAATTGCACAATCATATCAGGAAGAACTATACAATCATTACCACAATCAATTTTAGAACATCCCCTCTCTGTTAAATCAACTTTTTAAAAAATTTAAATCATTTTATTGGGGGTACATAAAACTCTGATCACAAACCATATATACATCCATTGTGTCAAGCACATTTGTACATTTGTTGCCATCATCATTCTCAAAACATTTGCTTTACACTTGAGCCCTTGGTATCAGCTCTTCATTTTTTCCCCTCCCTCCCCGTTTCCCACTCTCTCACGAACCCTTCATAATTTATAAATTATTATTATTTTATCATATCTTACACTGCCCAATGTCTCCCTTCACCCACTTTTCTGTTGTCCATCCCCCAGGGAGGACGTTATATGTAGATCCTTGTAATCAGTTCCCCCTTTCTACCCCACTTTCCCTATACCCTCCCGGTATCGCCACTCTCACTACTGGTCCTGAAGGGGTCATCTGCCCTGGATTCCCTGTGTTTCCAGTTCCTGTCTGCACCAGCGTACATCCTCTGGTCTAGCTAGGCTTGTAAGGTAGAATTGGGATAATGATAGTGGGGTGGGGTGGGGGTGGGGAAGCATTTAAGAACTAGAGGAAAGTTGTGTGTTTCAT